TTTCCCCCTTCTGATAATCTCCATAGACATATAAATCCATGCTTCTCAATCCTGCTCCAAAGGGAGGTCGGTTTGGAATTGCTCCTGGACAGAAGGTGGAAATGGAGGACAAGTCCTGGAAAAGGAATGCGTGGCTGGTCACCTTGGCCATGACCAAATAAAACTCTTAGAAACTCTCATATAAAGATAAATGTGTTTCTTCCTCATGCTCAACATGGAGGACATTTGGGGAATTCTTCCTCGGCAGAAGGTGGAAATGGAGGACAGGTCCTGGAAAAAGAGGGCATATCTGGTCACATTGGGCATGACCAAATAAAACTCTTAGAATCTGTCATATAAAGATAAATGTGTGCATCTTCCTCATGCTCAACATGGAGGACAGTTGGGGAATTCCTCCTGGGCAGAAGGTGGAAATGGAGGACAGGTCCTGGAAAAGGAGGGCATGTCTGGTCATCCTGGCCATGACCAAATAAAAGCTCATATGGCAAAATCTCATGGAAAGTTAAATGTGCACTTATTTGTCATGCTCAGCATGGAGGACATTTGGGGAATTCCTCTTAGACAGAAGGTAGAAATGGAGCACAGGTCCTGGAAAAGGAGGGTGTCTGGTCACCCTGCTATAGGGTCACCCACCCTGATGAAAGAGAGAAATGGGGCCTCCGCATGAGGCTGGCAACCTCTGGAAATTGTCCATAAGTGCACACACACACACACACACACGTTGCTACTGTTTGAGATTTAGGGCAATGGCTGGTTCCCAAGGCATGAGTCAGGAGGAGGACCTCCTCTGGTTAAGCAAGCTCTGATGCCAGTCTTGTGCAGTTGGGAGGGTGCTGGCCAAGGCGGGAGCCTCCCCTGCACAACACCCACAAAATTGCAGAAGCAGACGCCTGTGTTCCAAGCCAAGGGAGGCTGGGAGGAGCAAACCATATGTCACAGTTGCAACTTCCTTGCAGGACAAATTGAGGAACAAAAAACTTAGGCCTGGAGCAAAAAAATAGCATTGTTGAGGACACACAGCCTTCCCCAGATAGGCATTTTTCAAGGGCTGGGATGCAATACCCATTCTCCTCACACTGCCTGGGGATGGTAGGGTGTGCACATCTGGAGGACACTGGGTTGCAGGAGATTGTGAAGTCGTAGGCTTTTATGGCCAGCATCTATAGTTTTTTGTGGGTTTGGGGGGCTGTGTGGCCATGTTCTAGAAGAGTTTCTTTCTGATGTTTCGCCAGCATCTGTGGCTGGCATTTCTCTGAAGATCTATTGCAGGAGATTGATTTAGGGCTCTAAAAGCACACAATATTGGCATACTCACAGGTCCATATTCATCAATGACTGTGGCATCAATGACTTGCACTTGGGGAACTAGAGGTGGTGGTCTACAAACCATTTCCAACTTATGACAACTCTTATGACATTTCCAACAAGACAACTCTGTCATGGGATTTTCTTGGCAAGTTTTGTTCAGAGAGAGTTTGCCATTGCCTTCCACAATGTGCCTTGCTCAGGGTAGTGGGTTACATGGCTGAACAGGGATTTGAACCCTGGTCTCTCAGATTCCCAGTCCAATGCCCAAACCACTACACCAACACACTAGGGAACAGATTTCTCATATCAAAGACGAGGAATCTCCAAACTGAGGCCCTGATGCCCAAGAGTTCTTCATCTGCCTGAAAACTCCCCCTACTCATATCGGTGATCAGTGATAGGAGATTGGAGATATTTAAAACTGGGAAAGCCATTGCATGGCCCCAAATGGAGGTTTACCAAATTGGAATTAGGATCTGGGCCAAAAAAATATCCTGCCCCATCCCAGATCAAGCACAGGGCATTTTTGCATACTGGCTTCCTCTTTGCCAAGCATGACCGATTATTCTACATTTCACAAGGTACCCTAATGCAGTCCTTGGTCCCACTTCTTATATCATGGCAACTTTAGTTTAGGGAAATGGACTACAGCTCTTTAGCAGAGGAGTCAAAATATCTCACTATACTACAGGAACCTCTAGGATGGCATCATGACATTCTAACTGGTAGCAAATCATATATGTCTTTATCATACATCTTTAATCACAAAGGTTTTAAGAGGAACTGCATAAATAGTTGTGCTCAATTGCTCACCAAGTGGTAAAACAGCACTCTCTGAAGTTCTGGCCAACGAATCGAAAGCACTTGAATAACTAACAGCTGACTTTGAGGATTTACTATTCATTTATTATTTTATTTAGAGTAACCATGTCCAATATCCAAAGGGCATAATTCAGAACCATGGGCAATGGAATATGGGTCCCTTTCATAATTATAGCACTATGGCTCCACTTTAACTGTGATGGTAACATCCTATGGGATCCTGGCATTTGTTGTAGAGAGGGGTATTAACAGTTTTCAGCCAGAGAGCTTTAGTGTCTCATAGACTACTATGAAAAGAGATTCCACCTAAATATAGGAAGAACTTCCTAACAGTAAGAGCTGTTAGACAATGGAACACACTGCCTTGGAGAATGGTAGAGTCTCTTTCTTTGGAGGTTTTTAAATGGAAACTGGATGGCCATCTGTCAGAAGTGCTTTGATTGTGTTTTCCTGGATGGCAAGGGGTTGGACTGGGTGGCCCTTGGGGTCTCCTCCAACTCTAGGATTCTATGATTCTACTATAGTCCCAAGAATACATAGGATGCAGGCCCATTGATTCTGCTCCCAGGATTCTTTAAGATGCAGCCATAGCAGTTAATGTAGAATCATAGTGCAATAATTGTGTAGCATGAAAGGGTCTCTGGAGGGAAGGCCTCTCACCAGTCACTTGATCCTAGGCATGATAGAGGTATGCCTTGCTGCTCTTTTTCTCCATCAGAGGCCAGAGCAATGTGAGTTGGAATAAACTATTTTAGCTTTTTTTTAAAAAAAAATGTAGTTCTCTATTATTAAAATGTATTACATACAATTTAAATCTTTAAGTCATCTTGAATCTAGCTTTCTTCTGTTCCATACAAAAGTACAGTTCTGGTGCCCATCTCCCAAGGTTACTCTTAATCACACCTGCTAGGAAATGCATCACAACTGGTTTGATTCTTTTACAGGCAGCTCTGTCTTGGATCCCTCCTATCACTCCAGCAGCCACTCCTGTGGTGCTGTGTGTTGCTTTTCTTAGCTGCTATTTGTGATCAAGCGCCAAGGGGGAATGGGAAAGGCCTTGGACTTTTTGTTTTTTACTACTATGAGAATCCAGAAGGCTCCCACCACAAAAAAACATTGTCTCCAACATTGTCATAGCTGATTAGAGAGAAATATTTGTCACAAACTTTCCATGCTCATTAACAAAAAAATAACTGAAAAGGCTCCTATCTCTCACTGAAAACTGTACGATTATGATTTATTGAGACAGGCAGACAATAATAACAAGGAATGTCCTTGGCAAATAGTAGGGATATATGAAATGCAATAAGTCTAAGCTAAGAACCTGCCTTATAGTGAGCCAGAGCATTGGCCCATGTAGAGTCAGACAAAAACTTTTCAGATGGGATTCTTTCCTAACCTTACCTGTAGGTCCATGATGTTCACTGACAGTCCCCCATCCAGATGTTAACCAGGTGTGGCCTTGCTTAGCTTCCAAAACTGAACAAATTAGGTGTGTTCAAAGTGGTATGGTGTCACATACCACAAGCTTTTTAAATACAACTCTTTTCAAAAACTAAAACTAAAGCAAATTTCTCTGAAGATGCCAGCCACAGATGCTGGTGAA